CCTCCCCATCCTCCAGATCCCATCCAGCCTGCAATGAGCCCCCACCCACAGCTGGGAGCTCTGATCTCCATTTTTAGGGGCTTTCATATGGAAATATTGGTTTCATACACAGGGAAAACTCCTTTTCAGAGCCATTCCCGTTATTTCCACATTTCCTTTGGAGCATCTTTCCTTTCCTGGAACACCAGTCCCGGCAGCCACGGGACCGGGGTGGTTCTGCAGGAGTGGGTGGCTTTTTTTTGGGAACACTTCTCCAGACATGGGAGTGTTTGTCCCTCTAACACCATTCCCAGAGATCCTCTCTCCCTCCCAGCCTGGGTGTCAGGCAGTGCTAACCTGGTGACAGGGACACGTCTGCCACTCAGGGGTGCAAAAGGCAAACATTCCTCACCTTCCTGCTCATCCACAGACCTTTCCTGGCTCTTTTCTCCCTCTGGATTAACAGACCCACATGGCCTTGAGCCTTAAGTTCATTAAAATCCTTAAAAGTGCAACACTTCCCAAACTTTATTGTATTTTACATCCAAACCCAGTTTTTCATGACTATCAAAGTAGCAGGAGAAGAGGAATAAGAGGAAAATAAAAGATACTTACTGCTCCTTCTCGCTGCTGGGAAGCACAGGGAAGGAGAGGGAACAAGGATTAGGTGAGAGCAGGAATGAGGAGAGCCCAGCCAGTGACAGTCCCCAGCTCCTGGTCCCTCCCCATGGAGCCCCAATGCCCCCAAAGAGCGACCCCAACCCTTCCAGCACCAAACCCAGCCCTCATCCTGCTCCAGAGGGGACGTGGCATCACCGTGCAGGGTGCCAGGACAGAGGGACAGCTCCATGTCCCTGCACACCCCGGCTCTGTCCCCTCCACCTCGCTCAGTGTCACAGGCATCTTTCACGAAAAATCCTTTCGTTGGGATTTTTTTCCTCCTGAGAAGTTGAGAGGCCTCAGGAACAGAATGTAAACAATGGTTATCTGCTGCTGTGGGATGCAACAGGTGCATCTGGGATTGGTCTCATGTGGTCGTTTCTAATTAATGGCCAATCACAGTCAGCTGGCTCGGACAGAGAGTCTGAGCCACAAACCTTTGTTATCATTCTTTCCTATTCTATTCTTAGCTAGCTTTCTGAGGAAATACTTTCTTCTATTCTTTTAGTATAGTTTCAATATAATATATATCATAAAATAATAAATCAGCCTTCTGAAACAGGGTCAGATCCTTATCTCTTCCCTCATCCTCAGCCCCCTGTGAGCGCCGTCACAGCTCAGGGCGTTGAGGAGCAAACCCAGCAAAACGCCCCCATGCAACAGCACTGAACCAACTCCTGGTGTCCCCACGGGGAGAACTGGTGTCCCCACCCTCTCTGGGAGTGTCCCTGCTGTCACCTGGCTCGGAGGGACATGGTCCTGTCACTGGGGCACATCCACCGGTCAGAGGAGCCGCCCAGCACCGCGTCGGTCATCGCCGGCCACACCAGAGCCTGGGGACAGCAGTGCCCTGCTGGCTGTCACCAACCTGGCACTGCAGGGACTTCAGACACTCTGCTCCCAGGGGCCAGTGAGGAAGCGGAGCTCCCAGCCAGGCTGTAGGGAAAAAACAGCAAAAAAATAATCCCTGAAAATCGCGCTGGGAAAGGTTTTGTTTGTGGGATTGTAAGAGGGTTTGGAGCAGGAATGTCACTTGAGTCTGGATGTTGAGAGCTTCCAGTCACCTCCTTCCCATGAGGGCAGCACAGCCTGGGTATAATTAATGAATGCCCAACCTCATATTAATTATGAGGCTTCAGAGGCAGGAGGGAAGAGGGGGATCCATTTCAGAGAAACAGCTGCGAGCAACTAAACTTTCTCCCCAAATTCCAGCATTCCTCACTGTCCTTTCCCACACCACCCTCTGGAAAAAAAAAACCAAAAAAAAAACCAAAAAACCACCTTTTTTCCCTCTAGAAAAACAAAACCTCCTCCTTTCCCATTTTGGTTTTACTGAAGTTTTTTGCCAAGATGATCCAGGAGGGAAAACACAGCACCAGGACTCAAACAGGAGGGTCTGTCCACTCCTCCCCAAAGGCTCCTCCAGAGAGGGATCTCCAAAGCCTTCTCCTTAAAATCCCAATGGATGTCAAATCCACAGCCTGATTGTTGCTTTATTCCCATTTTTGGAGGTGTTTTCCCCCTCCACCCACTGCTCCTGCTCCCTGCAGGGGGATGGGGATGGATGGATCCATTCATCCATTACCTCTTCTGAGGGAAAAACAGGGATTTGATAGATTTGCCTGCAGCAGAGCTAAAAAATTCACAAAAAACCCTCTGCAGAGCCCAGCCATGGACAATGAGGCTGCTCCCAGGACGGATCATTCACCTTCCCATCCTGCAGCCCTGGGATGATGCTGCCTTGGATTCCTCCATGCCTGGAAGGGACCTCTCAGTTCCCCTCATCCCACCAGATCCTAAAATCAGCATCCCAGCAGGACCAGAGCTCTGCCCACACTGGTAAATGAACCTTTGTAGGGCACAAAGCAACTCCAGCAAAACTCCAGCAGAGAAATTGGGGAGATTATACCAAGGAAACGATGGAAAAATGGGAGCTTGCAAAAGTGCCCCAGCTCCAAGCCGGGAAAAAACACCTAATTTTCCAAAAAAAACAAAAAAGGAAAAAATGCTCTGCAGGGTTTCTCATCACTCCCTGAGGAGTTGTGGAGGCTTGAGGCTCACCTTGGCTCCATGGAAAACTTGGGGGATGCAAAAAAAAGTATTTTTGGAAAAGCAGGAGAAGCGAAGCACGTGGGTAATTATTGCTCTGCTGGTTCACACAGCGCCTGTTCCCGTGCCAGAGCAGGAGGCTCCAATTAACAAGGTCACTTAACGAAGGAAATTGTTCATTTAAGTCCCCACCACCACCTCCAGAACCCGCACTGCAGCACAGAATTCCTGCTGGGAATGAAACATCCCAGGGTGGGCAGAGATTGAGCAGGGAGCAGGGCCAGCACCCATTTTTGGGGAGATGCAGGTGGGAAAGGGGAACTGTCCCATTTATCCCATTTTTGGGGAGATGCAGGTGGGAAAGGGGAACTGTCCCATTTTTGGGGAGATGCAGGTGGGAAAGGGGAACTGTCCCATTTATCCCATTTTTGGGGAGATTCAGGTGGGTAAGGAACTCTCCCATTTTTTGGGAGATGCAGGTGGGAAAAGGGAACTCTCCCATTTTTTGGGAGATGCAGGTGGGAAAAGGGAATTGTCCCATTTTTGAGGAATGCAGGTGTGAAGGGACTGTCCCAAGGTCACCAATGTCCATCCCCAACCCTGCAACAGGGGAAAAGAGTGGAAAATCCCTGTTTTTTCCTAGCCAAGAGGGATCAGGAAGGAAAACTCTTTAGCCCAACTGGAACTTTGTGCTAATAAGAGCGAGGCCAGGAGCGTTCTGTTCTGCTTTTGCTGCTCCTGGAGGAATACACAATCCCTTTCTCCACCTATAAATAATAGATTTGGAAAAATCTACTTTGCATTACTTCCAGCAACTACCCCCGCTTGCCCTAATGCTTCTTCCAGCATTTTTAGCACACGGGAAAGAACAAAACAACAGCTCAGGGTGGCTCTTCCCCCCTCTCCTGCCAAACCCTGGCTCCTGAGCAGCAGGATGTGGCCATCCAAGCGGGGATCGATGGGATGCAGCAGCGTTTCCTTAATGAAATGGAAATATCCCAAACCTAGCAGGGTGCCAAGACCTTCCAGGGTTTGGCTGACCCCGAGGGGTCCCGGATCTGCTGCCCTGGTGTTGGAGGGGATGGGAGGAGCTGCTTCATGCCGAGGTTTTCCGAGGGATGCTGGCAGCTCCCGCCGGCGCCAGCGTGGCACGTCCTGGGCAGAGCCAGGAATAGCAGTGAGGTCTTAATTTGTGGCCTTGAGGAAGGGCCACATGACTCCAATCATGCAGCTCCATTGCTGCTGTGTGACAGAGCCCCTGGACTCGGCCGTGCTTTGATAAAAGGGGATTTAATGCCTCCCGTGGATCCCTCTCGCTGCCAGCACCCAAAACCTGGCAGGGGCAGTGTGAGGGCTCAGCAGGTCCCACTCACCCTGCAGCAGCTGTGGGAGGGCTGGGAAGGCAGGGGGATGTCCATGGAATGAGCCCATCCCACAGCTGGGCACCTGCAGGGAGCCCAGCCGGCCCAAGGAGCCGCCTGGGAATGCCAAACCAGGGGGGAAGAGAGAAAATCCCATCTTGTCCACGCTGCCAGGGTGAGGGTGAGGTTTGTGCAGCGAGCTCCACGCTTGCCAGCCGATGCCTGCAGAGATTGTCTCCAGCAGCAGACACTGACACAGGCAACCTATTTCTCCCTCCAGCCTCCTGAGCTCTGCAATGCAGCTTTCTTAAATATTGAATAAGTCTGCTGCTCTCACCACCTGCCAGTGCCAATGATGAGGTAATTTTTCCATTGACAAAGCCTGATGTGATTAATCCGGGTGGAAAAATGCAGATTTTGGGGCATCATCCACTCACCTGGAACACAGAGCTGCAGCCAGACCCCAACCAGCCAACCCAAGCTGCTGCTCTGGTGCCAGGTGGGAGATTATTGGGTGTCCTCAGCAAGCAGGAGGTTTGGGAGTGGAATGGATCCAAACTGATTCCCTGTTGGGATGGTGGGGTTTGCATGTTGGTATCAGAGTGGGTTTATGCTCCACAGCTGGAGCCAGGGGTGGAAAAATTGGGGATGAGGATGGAATTGATTAATGGGGCTCAATTTGGGGTGACAAGGACTCACACAGATGAGCAGTGTGAGGAGCAAATGCCAAAGCTGGAATTGTCTCCTCACCACTCAGGGCACACATCCCAAAACACCAAGTTGGGCTGGAAACACTTCCCAGCTCCTGGGGACATTTCCAGCCATCTCCCAAGTCCACCAGCACCAGATCCTGCCCTGCTCCATGCCTGGCACCCAGGAAGGGCTGCAAACCACAGGGAATTCCAGATCCTGCCCAGACACCTGGCATAGACACCGCACCCCACACCCAGGCTCGTCCTTTCCCAGGAAAATGAGTTTTCCCACTGCCCACCCCACACCATTCCATGTGGAACACCCTCATAGGGACAGGCAGCAGGTCCCCACTGCCCTCTGGCTCCAGACAGGGTTTGGCACTGCTGGATTTGCCTGCAGAGGGGAGGAAAAAGGGGAAATATCCCCCAAAATAGCTGCAGGAGCAGCTGTGGAACACTGCAGGATGATCAGCAGGTAACAGGGAGGGACGGGAGGGCAGTCCCAAACTCCCTCAAACCCCACTATTCCATCGGTCTCATCATGTGCAAATTCTTGTAGAAAGTTTGGGCAAAATTGGGCAGGAGGGAGGCAGAGCTCAGCTGGCTGGAGCTGCTGGGGCTGGAGCTCCTCCCAGACACCTGGGCAAGGGACAGGACAGTCCCAGAGGTGCCACAGCCGTGGCAGCACACCCTGTGTGTCCCCACATCCTCAGTGTGGCATCAGATCCTGATTGTCCCATGGGAGCTGGGGGCTCCTGGGGATGCAGCTTTTGGGAGAGACCCAGAGCCACAGCCCTGGGGTCACCTCATCCCTCAGCTCCTCACCAAACCCTCGCAGGGAACCCCACAACTCCCCTGCTCGGTGAGCTGCTAATGAGTTAATTAAAGTTCAGTGTGACAGCCTCGGCCCACAGGTGACAGTGAGGGAGCAGAGGCAGGAAAAGCAAAGCGATGCCTCCAGTGCCCTCCGCTTAAATCCACACCACAGCCTCTGGGAGCCTTGGGGAGCACCAACTCCTTGTGGCTTGGCTGATGGCACTGCTGCCTTCAAATCCCCACAAGGTGCTGAGAGCTGCCTTTATTCCTCGCCCCCTGAATTCCCAGCTCATCCTCCAGACAAAGCCTCGTCCCAAAGGCAGCTGAGCAGCAGCTCAGTCAATTTTATTTAAGCAGCACGTTGACATTTCCTCCAGCAGCTCCCTCTCAAACCAAACACTGTTAGGATGCTGTCACAAGGATTTACTCCCCTTGATTAATTACAGGAAAGACAACGGCAAAAAAAAAAAAAAAAAATTAAAAAATTAAATAAATAACCAACTGCTGGGTGTATCCACCTCACCCGGGCAGATCCAGGTGAGCTCTGAGCACACCCGGGGCTGCCATCGCTCCTCAGGAGCTGCTTAGCAACGGGAAGATCCCTGCAGGGCTCGGGCACGGCGAGCTGGCATCGCACCCTCAGTGCCAGGGACAGGGACAGTGGCCAGAGCCACCAGAATTCCAGCAGGGACCCTGGGACAGAGACAGGATCAGCCCTGGGGAAAGGCTGGGAAGACCCAGGTGAGCTCGGAGGTGGTGGCAGGTGCAGGAGGGTGACAGTGCCCAGCAGGGATGGCGCAGGGCTGCGGTGTCACCCACAGGAGCCACAGCGGGGCTGGGCTGTGGGGAGGGGTCCCACTGCTGGGGAGACCCCTGAGCCTCGCAATGTCCCCGTTCCCAAGGGCCACGGGCAGGGAGGAGCACGCAGCCACCAGCTCGGGACACTCCGGGCTCCCGGTTTCCCCCGTTATCTCGGTTTTCCCGCTCCATCGGTTTCCCCGTTCTCTCCTCCCCACACCCACTCCGTACCTGGGTTCACGGAGCCCCCATCACGGCACCCCAAATCCACAGAGCTGCATCCAAACCCGCCGGGGATGGAGAAGGGAATGGCTGCCCCTATCAGTGACCCTTTATCAGCCAGCACGGCCACTCCCCGGCCTGGGGAAGGCGGGCAATTCATCAGCCCGGCCTGGGGGAGCGCAGCCCCCTCCCTTCCTTCC